GAATTATCGTTGAACTTTTAAAAGGTAAGCTTAAGTATTAATGCAAAAGGTAAATGCAGTGATCAGTTTTGAGTTCTTCTGTGGTTTATTGTTTCCTGTCGCATACGGCAGCAGTATACCTCGTAAAAAAGAATCAAAAGAGCCAAGGCTGCTACGAGAAAAAGAGTTTCATGCAAATGAAAACCCAGAACAAATGACAGCCAGAAGAGCTTCCATTGCTGAGAATATGCAATGAATCATGGACTCCAAACTTAAAGCCGTATACGCAGTTACGTTAACGATTAATTTTCCACCCGACGACACCTTGCCTCAAAGATGAAACGTCGCAATCTTCTGGCTACACAGTTTCTATTTCCGTGGAAAATGTTCTGATGAACCTACATTCCTTCGTTCCATCAGTTCAGACCTTTTTATTTAAGACGCGCCATTCCATGTACACAGAATCATCCACAGTTCCTTCATCTTACAATGGTAATAACATGTTCCATTCGGACAGCTTACTTCCTAAGTGCTGCCGATTCTCCGATCACTATAATCTTAACCTTTTCACGTCCAGGTTCAACTCTTATCTATCTTATACGCCCTTATAACCCGTAACACTTACCTTCGTATCCTAAAATAGATTTTAAATCAGGGTTCTCCTTTACCTAGATGGATCTTCCTGGGCTGCTGAGTTCTACCTACCAGAAGCTGCTGGTGATGACGAGCCTGAATAGTCTAAAGGCCCAATCATGACGTCTCCGCATGAGCTATATATGTATATATATATATATATATATATATATATATATATATATATATATATATATATATATATATATACTATCGGGCGGCATTTAATCTCGCTCATATATATATATATATATATATATATATATATATATGTGTGTGTGTGTGTGTGTGTGTGTGTGGTGGAGGTACTGTGGAGTAATGGATAAAGGAGAGCCGAGTTCGAATTCCAGTCGAGTCCATTACATTCACTTGCGTGCTAATATCCACGGGAAAGGTGTGAATCCTTTTCTCCCTCCAGCAGAGTTCTATAGCCTTTGATGGCAACTGGTCTAGGAGAAGGACAACTCTGAATTCAAAACCTACGGAGGGTCGTTTGTATTCGGACCTTCAAAAAGTGTGGATGGTCCTGCACGAAATCTTCACCACTATAATCAAATCTCTTTTGGTGTTGTTGAGCTTTCGGTTTCCTAGGAACTGATCTGCTTGACACTCATACGTCGAATTGTAAATGGTGGTGCTCGCTTGGTAAAACCTCGGATAGCTCGATTTTCAGTGGAACCAATCGGTACAATGGAAAATAAAAAGAAAGAACGAAGAACATTAAACCAAGGAGAAAACAAGCGTCCAGTGTTCAAGCTCGAAGTCCAAAGGAAAAGACCCCCAAAACGAGTAAAAAGACAACTACGTAAAGGGCTCAATACACTAAGTAGAGCAAAACCTAAGATAATCCTAAGGCGCCAGGAAAACCTACCTAGGTTTCAACTAAACGGATCGTCTTGTATATATATATATATATATTAGAAACGTTATATTTAGTGGATACACGTAAATTTTATTTCGGACAGTAAAATTAATGGAAACCACTTTCAAACCAAGTGTGTCCAACCAGTTACGCCACAAGAGCCCATTATGATAAAGCAAGGCTCCATCACCCTACCTAAGAAATGCACATCTCTCGTTAGGACCTTTCGAAGTCTATTTCTGTTTATTATATTCTATCTTCTCGAAGCATAAACAAAATATTTTAAAGAAAAGATTTATTTTTAATCTCACATTAATTCTTACAAAAAAGAAATAATGACTGATTAAAAAATCCATTTATTGCTGAAACAAAACACCCCGCACACACTCACACACATGCCTGGCCGCATACACAATTCCAGAAAATCCTCGTTGAAAACACAACTATACTTAAACATGAAAACAATAAACAAAAGCTAAAAATTCTTGAAGCTATATACATAAAACACTTGAAACCTAACCTGAACAAAATAAACTATGAAATCTCCACAAATATTCTTAAATGCTTATAATTGGTAACAGAAGCCATTGGTTTATACCAACAGCTTCCCATACTTAACACTTCTTGTTTTCACTCTCGCGTGATCAAGTGTGACGTCATGAACTGCACGAATTTGTCGATGCTTGGAAATCTTCCATGCAAACAAAAACAGACTTTCATTATTGTTATGTCCGTGTATTGTTTAATATATTGTAAGTTAATTGTCATTTTTGATAATGGCTTATGTAAGCCGAAAGCTTAGATAGGATTAAAAAATATGTATCAATATTGTAATTTCATTTTGTCTTTTAATGATGTTATTAAGCTTATCAGACGATATGAAAAGAATTTACATAAAATAAATAGACAAAACTTGTCTATATTATTTAATGAAACATGCATCAATGAAAAAATGCTGCCTAAATACCCACAATTTATATATATATTCAATTTGTGAAGACCGGTATGCCAAACATTGTCGAATGCTTTCGCCATATTCAGCGCAATAGCCCGATATTCACCGTTCGCATCATTAGCTTGATAAACTATTTCGAATAGAAAATGAAGCCATATTCTTTTCTGAAAGAAGGCACTTCCTTGTGAGATGCTTAATTAATTCAACATTGATTAGGGTCTCTAGTAGTTTACCAAAAAAGATGTAGAGGGCTAATAGGCCGATCATTGGAAGTATAGGACGGGTCACCTGAGTTCTTAAAGACTGAAACTGCAGATGAGGATTCCCAACAAGCAAGAAAGCGGTCGGCAGAGAGGCGTTTATTATACAGTTTAGATCGAACAGGAGTCAGCTTGGGAGCATATTTATTACAAAAATACCATCAGGTCAACATGCTTCGCGGGGATCCAGATTAGAGATGATAAAAGAAATAATAAATATGATTTATTTTTTGGATAATATAGAATGTAAGCGTCCAATATTTGTTATTGTTGTGGATTCCGAGATGAAATCCGGTCTCAAATGAATGACAAACGCAGGAATGAAATATAGCAAATAAATGTATTGACGTAATAATACAACTGGTAATACGGTTAGTAGATCCAGAAACGTCGTTAGTAGCAATAATAATATATATATACAGTCTGGGAAATTCAGTCTTGAAGTAGGACTTCCTTAGAGTCTACGTGCTTATAACTGTGACTTCTACAAGCGGTTACCTCACACTATTACTCTACCTCCAACTCAATCACAATCTCAATCTTCTCTCTACTCTGACTGACTCTGGGTATTTAACGGCAGCAGTCCAAGTACACACTGGTAGAGTCCACTTGTATGAAAAAGGAGTGGACCCCATAGCAGTTATATCACACGATAAAGTAGAAATATGTTGCACAACTCCATTGCCTCTGTTTCTATATTAGTCATAGTTTGAGGATGAGGATAACAGTCCACGTGTAAATAGTACCAATGCATTCTTAAGCGTTTTTTTTCTATTTGTCATTTCTCCTCTTTTTCTGCCGCTTTATCTTTTGATGGTAACAATGTTCAGTTTTCTATTCATTGTTTATCTCTATTAATAGTATCTCATTAATCAAAAGTGATTTTTTCAGCTTCCTGTTTCGTACCCAAAAGATAAGACGCACTTCCGGCATCACAACACTCCATGTTCTTTCGTTGTGCACTTTTCTTTGCCAAGAAGGTTTTATAAATTCTTTAACATTTAATCGCAAGAACTCGAACAGAAGCTAGTGAAATAAGGCGAGAAGAAATGACTACACTTCAATTGTAAGAAGTCAGTATAAACGTTGATCAGTGAAAGGAACAGTTCAATATGCAAATTAAAAATTACAAAAACCAAAATAAAACACGTACAAAAATTGTAATATCTGGGAAATGATTCAACATCAACAATCCCTGTTGTAGTTGGAGCCCTCAGATTGGTCGGAAAAGATTCCAGTAGACTCGATGAAGGGATACAAAAAAATATTCTCACGAGTACAGTTCACACCTTACAAAGGGCTTTATCTATGTAAAATATTTTTATTTTATTTTTTTAATTTGCACAGTGGAAATGTCATAATGGCATTTCTGACCGTCCTGGGTTTGACGATAAACTACATCCGACAGCAACGCCTCTGATCAGGAGGTTTTGAGGAGTGTGGAGCCACCTCTTGATTGCTGGTGTTCCCAGATCTACCCTGATCCGGGGTGGTAGCACGTGTAATGGGTCCCAACTATGCGCAAATATTTAACCCCCAATCTGAGGTCAAAACACTATGAAAGTGTGCAAATAGGTTCTAATACCAGAAATATTTTGTAAAAAAATTATTACCATAAATAAATTATGTAAAGAAAAATTATTACCAGCAATAAATTTTTGAAGGAAAAAATTATTACCAGCAATTCATTACCAGCAATACATTTTAAAAAAATATCACCAGAAATATATTTTTGAAAAAAAATATTACCAGCAATACTTTTTTGAAAAAAGTATTACCAGCTATACACTTTTGAAAAAAAAATTACCAGCTATACTTTTTAAATATTGTCAGCGATAATTTTAAAGAAAAAATATTACCAGAAATAATTTTTTTGAAGTTAAAAATATTGCCAGAAATATATTTTTGAAGAAAAAAATATTACCAGCATTACATTTTTGAAAAAACATATTACCAGCAATATATTTTTGAAAAAATAAATTACCAGCTATACATTTTTTTCAAAAAAAAATATTACCAGCGATACATTTTGAAGAAAAATATTACCAGAAATTGATTTTTTTAAAGGAAAAAATATTACCAGCAATAGGATTTTGAAGGAAAAAATATTACCAGCAATAAAATTCTTGTCGTTATTAAATAACCAATTGAGGTTGATATGCCGTAAAAGGAAATAAACCAAAACCATTTCTGATCTTAGGTCTCTAGTCGGGACACGGAAAGAAATGAGTATATATCAGAATTAAATGGAAATATAATAATAATAATATCATAATAATAATAAAAACCCACCTATACCAGGAGTCAAATCTTACGGTCAAATCACGCTGAAAAGACCGGTTCTCGTTCGATCACCGAAGTTAAGCATCGTAGAGCCACGTCAGTACTTAGATGGGGGACCGCTTGGGAACACCTGGTACTGTAAGCCCCCAAAGTCCAACCCTTACCTCACAGTCGGTGGGGGGTGTAAACAGTAGTGTCAGAGCTATGCCGCCCGGAACTTCGTTCCTGGTAGGGCCACCCAAGGCGGACAGGTCTGACACACGCCGGCTAACAAAGGGCTCTGGTGAAAATCCAAGGAGCGTCTGCATCGGTAACCGGCGGCTTCTGGTCGTTCCTGTCTCTGCGTCTGTGGGAACCCCGCGGCAAGCAAGAACGTTATCCGAGTAGGCCTGGGTACCCTACTTCTGTAATTTATCCCAAGAATCTTCTTCTCATAACAGGAAGAAGCCGGCTCAATCCGCCCAGGGTGATTGCCGCATCAGTACAGTACAGTAGTAACTACACCAGGAGTGAATTTGCAAGAATATTGGACATTCAGGTTAATGTTGACCCAGTTATCATTGGATCATTGAAGTCTATGCGGCCGAAATTAAATAGAGATATTAAGAATATCGAAATAAATTATTACCTCCCTTTGCTTCAACTTTGCGTTGCATGGCTCGACAAATATTTTGAGAAAAGAGTATAATCTGCTTGAAGTCTTACGACTAAACGGAAATCCACAAGATCTTCAGTTGAAAAACGAAAAAAAAACGTACGAAATGATTTGTCCAGTGACATAATTTCATTTTTACAGACTCTTCATTTAATAACTTTGCACATTGAAATTCTACATAGATTCTATCTGTGCACACACATAGATATATATTAAAGAAACTCTGCACAATCGCGCGACATCGTACAATTACTAACAATGAAGTGTAAATGTCAACTATATATGCAACCAATTGTCCCAACAATAATAATCTCTTGAATTGCAGACTTTTGAGGTTTCAGCTTGAAATCAGCTCGTGCACCAAACAATACACATACATATTACTAATACTAATACTAATACTAATACTAATACTAATAATGACTCAACATAGGTACCAGAAGAAATTGTTAAGTGATGGTCAAGCTACAATCTCCTACTTGCAGGAATTTATCAACAAAAGAAATTGCCTTTGCTGCATTTCATACCAGGCTTTGAATATTTAGATGTTACGTCAAGAACTGAATTACTAATATTAAGTGAGATTATATTTTAAAGGCTAAAGTGTCACTTCCAAAGTTATTGGTGATAATGTCCAAAAATTTAATATTGGATAACATTATAGAATTGCCGGCGACAAACAAAGAAGACTGTCATATTTGCGACCCAGCAATGGAGAAAGATGGTAGAAAAGTCTACGGGTTAGATTTTTTAGATAGATAGATAGATAGATAGATAGATAGATAGATAGATAGATAGATAGATAGATAGATAGATAAACATAGACATATTTAACTGAATAGGTAGATATAAAAAGTATGAGATAGATAGATACATACATACATGGATACATGGATTTAGATGAATAGATAGATATGAAAAGTATGAGATAGATAGATAGATAGATAGATAGATAGATAGATAGATAGATAGATATGGACAGATTTAGATCAATAGATTGGTATGAACAGATTTAGATAGCTATGAACAGATTTAGAGATAGATAGATAGATAGATAGATAGATAGATAGATAGATAGATAGATAGATAGATAGATTTAGATCAATAGATAGATATGAATAGATAGATAGATAGATAGATAGATAGATAGATAGATAGATAGATAGATAGATATGAACAGATTTAGAGATAGATAGGTAGGTAGGCGGGTAGGTAGATAGATAGGTAGGTGGGTAGGTAGATAGATAGGTAGGAGGTAGGTAGATAGGTAGGTAGTGAGGTAGGTAGGTATTATTTTGGTAATACCAAGTGAAAGAGCAATGTAAATGGACATAAATTGGAAAAAAAAAGACCAAGATCGATAAAATGATGTTAAGGAAAGAATAATAAATAAATATGTTCGGTTCGTGACCCGAGTCCTGCCTCGTTTTCTGGTTGTAATGGCCGGATGAAAACTCAATAAATGCTGTCTGTCAGACCCCGCCGTCTGTAGATGTAAAGAGAAAATGTCTTGCTGGGGTGTGAAGATGTTTAATAAAGGATCGAGAGAAAGAAAACGTTTAGTAGTGAAGGTATCCATTAATCTTGGTAAGGGTTTCGATGCTAAACCAGGCCGAAGACGTGAAAACAAAAAAGTTATGATGAAACGCAAGAAAGGAAAAGAAAGAAAGCTAAAGTATGAATAGTTACAGGAGACTTTAACGAATGAAAAGAAAGAAAGAAAGAAAGAAAGAAAGAAGGTTATAAGGAAAGAGACAGACGAAAAGAAAGAAAGAAAGAAAGAAAGAAAAGAAGGTTATAAGGAAAGAGACAGACGGAGAGAAAGAAAGAAAGAAAGAAAGAAAGAAAGAAAGAAAGAAAGAAAGAAAAAGAAAGAAATTTGAAAAATAAGAATTTATAGAGGAACGAAAGCCAAGATAGAAAGAAATTTTGAGAAGAAAGTAACAGTGTAAGAAGACAGACGAACAGAAAGAAAGAAAGAAAGAAAGAAAGAAGTTTAGAGTGGAAGGAGACAGACGAAAAGAAAGGAAGAAAGAAATTTGTAGAATAAGAAGTTACATTGGAACGAAAGAAAGAAAAAAAGGTTTGAGAATAAAGAAAGTGACAGTTTATAGCGACAGACGGAAAGAAAGAAACAAACAACAAAGCGAGAAAGAAAGAGAGAAAGAAAGAAAGAAACAAGGTTATAAGGAAAGAGACAGACGAAAAGAAAGAAAGAAAGAAAGAAAGAAAGAAGGTTATAAGGAAAGAGACAGACGAAAAGAAAGAAAGAAAGAAAGAAGGTTATAAGGAAAGGATACAAACTAAAAGAGAAAAAGCAAAAAAGAAAAGAAAGTAAGAAAATATATAGCAAGTAAATAGGTTTGGTCATTAGCTGAACGAACCAGAAAGCTGATGGAACTTAAAGGGAGAATTGTAAGAAAAATAATACATGACTGATTTATATTTTAAACATTTTGCATGCTATTTAAAGCCAGAAAATATTTTAGAGCTTTTGGAGGGAATAATAATTTAGTGATAAAATTCCTACTGATTAACCCATATATGGGGGAGAAGGCATGAATTCCCACCTTTTTTCCCAAGTTTATTTGCGCGGAAGTGACTATAACTAAGCTGATGGGAATTTGAACTTGGCTTTCCAATTAAAAATATCGAGCCGTTACCATCCGCACATCAAAGATTACAGCCCCTGATTTTCCCAAGCGGTCACCCATCTAGGTACTGATCAAGCTCTATGTTACTTAACTTCGATGATACCTACGAGCGCAGGTGTTTCAACCTGACATGGCTGTATGTCGAAAGCTAGGTGAAGAAATATTTGCGTGAAGGAAAGAAAAATTAAGAAGATGAAAACATGGAAGAGAAAGGGAAAAAAAGTGAAAAGGAAAATAAGAATGAAAAAGTCAGAAAGAATAGAAAGGAAAAGAGATCGAAGGAGGGGCGTAAAGGAAAGAGACAAGGAAAAAGTAGAGATAAGAGGGAGTGGAAGTTGAAAAATAGTGTGAGAGAGAAAGGAATAAAATATAGAAAGATAGAAAGAGAGAGTGTGTGTAAGAGAGGGGATGAGAAAAAGAGTAGAAAATCTGGTTAGCTTAATTAAATACTTTTCCTCTCTGCAGCATATCGCTTCAGAACGTTGGCAATCATGGCTCTCCACAATTTCCTGTCCTTTGTAGCTCCTAGAAAATTTTATCTTTTTATTATCTCTCTTAATCCCGGCTAACCATTTACACAACTTTCTTTGTTAGGTTATGCATTGTTTTTCTCTGTCCCTTTTGCTTTCAATCTATCCTTTGAGTATCAAATTTTCCACGCCGTTTTCCTCATTGTGTTTACGAGATATTTCAGCTTCTTGTGATGGTGTTCATTTTATTTCCATTTTCTCTAAAACTTCGTCGTTGATCACATGTTCATAGTATTTTCAGCATCGGTCTTTTGAAGCACATTTCTTAGAAGAAATTCTCCAGCATTCAATACCATATAGGGCGAATGACGTTACGCAATTTTTAAGTATCCCATGCTTTGTTTCTAACGAAATGTTCCTGTTTCTTAATACTTTGCTTAGCTTTTGGAAGACATCTTTCGCTATCACAATTCGCCTTGAAACACTTACCAGATATTTCAATTTTTGTATTTTCCTGATTTTTGTGTCTCCATTTTCTAATTTGTATCTTGCATTGTTCCTTTTACGGCCAACCATACATTCTGTCTTCATACAATTGATGTTTAGTCCTTTCTTTCCGCCTCCGTTCATGACCTTCCTGTAGGAGTTCTTTTAGTTTCTTTTCAGTGATTAAATATTAAAGTATCTGTCTATATTTCTGAGATCAGGTATTATGTACACTATTTACTGTATTCAGACTATTGTCCTCATCATTGTCACCATATTTATCACACCGTTTCGGCCGTTGTACGCTCCGGCCTTCTTCGGGTGGTTGGAATGTCGAAGCAAGCATAGAAATGAATACAATATGGGAACCAGTAATAAGGAGTGCTAGAGAAAAGCGGTAATAACAAAAAAAATGCATGGTAAAAACATGAATGATAACAGCAAAAATTGCAATATGAGTACTGTTAAAAATGGTTGCTGATGACATTATGTTTATAATACTCAGAAATTCATGCACAGATGTCCTCAAGGACAAATAACACAGTGGATAAAGGCGTTGGCTAGATCCAGTGACAAGACCCAAAGAATGTGAGTTCAATACCCGGTTAAGGCAGTGGAGAACTTTGAGAGGGAAAATTAACAGGAGATAACTGATAACTGATATCCATTAAACATGGCACGTGGAACTAGAACAGTCTACCCCAGTGAGCGAAATAAAGCGTTTCGTTCGACATTCCAACCTGAAGAAGACCGGAGGGTACAACACCCGAAACTTTGTAATAAATATGGCGACAAAGATGAGGACAATAATAATGTAAATAGTGTAAAGTCCGATCAATATAAATATTGCAAATAGTTATAATACCTCATCACATAAATATAGAGAGATAGTATTAGCAATGGTAGCCGTTTCTTTATATTAAGCGATCAGCCAGTGCTAATACCGGTTGAAAGACTTTCTATTAAATCAATTTTTCAGAAAAATAGGTTTCTTAAATACAGTAGCTGTTATCGCTCTTTCCATTATGGATGGGGGGTGTTCTTTCCTAGCCTTTTCTTTGATGTAGTGTGGAACGACCCCATCTTGAATATGCCATTTTTTACAATAGTATTTACCCTGTATAAGGTGCGAGAGCCACTCAAGTTAGAGCGTAAGAGATTAAGAGTCACGGCTTATGCGGATATGCGTGGAAAGGTAACGATTAAGCCTAGATTTGAACAGATTAAGATTGTAGTGATAAGGGAAGCATAATCTTGGGAGTAAGTTTTACATGCAAGCTGTTCGTGGGGGTATGAGATCCACTCAACTTGGGCTGAGTTTGTGCCAATAGGTACCCAAAGGGGGAGGAGGAGGGCAGATGGGGGAAGAAGAAGGAGGAGGATTGGAAGAAGAAGAAAAAGAAGGGGGAATGAGGAGGAGGAGGAGAACAACAACAACAACAACAAGGAGGAGGAGGAGGGAAGAAGAAGAAGGAGGAGGGGTGAGAAGAAGAAGAAGGGAGAGAAGAAGAAGAAAAAAGAAGAAGAAGAAGGATGAGAAGAAGAAAAAGAAGAAGGAGGGGGAGGAGAAGGGGAGGAGGAGGAGAAGAAGAAGAAGAAGAAGAAGAAGAAGAAGAAGAAGAAGAAGAAGAAGAAGAAGAAGAAAAAAAGAAGAAGAAGACGCGAAATTCACAAAAGTGTGATAAAACTAAACTATTATAGATTCAGGGAAATCTCTGGATTATTGCAAATTTTGCAAAAATTAAATAAAAAGGAAAATAAACAAATATAAATCAATAACAGCAAAAGAAAGGCAAAGTAGAAAAGCTTTAAAAACAACTAAAGAAGAAAGTTTGGAAAGATTTCAAAAGAGAAACAAGAACAAATATCGAAATTATAACGGAAGAAAAGAAGGAGAAAGTAAAAGTAAAATGTATCGTCACATCATTCATCAATAGCGGAAGGAGTTTCATTCGAATTGTGACCATCTCTAAGGATATAAACGTCAATGCTTTCCCGTTTCTTACTTAATTCTGCCTTGAGGCTCTTCAAACATCTACAAGTGGGTGGCTGATCAGTTCTTGACTCTGGCAAGTTAATGAAATTTCTTACCGTCCCAAATGAACAGCAGTTTTCGGACAGCTAAGTTACTTATGTTCCTGGCAAGACTATCTATTTATCTACCTCTAAATTATGAGAACACAGAACGTATGGTCGTTAGTGTGAGGAACAGACCAAGATGGACGCTACAAAGAGATGTCAAAATCAGCCTGTTAAGTGTTTGAACAAACATCGGAAAAAGCGACACCGGAAAAAGCGACATCGGAATCCGAAGCGGCAACAATAAAAGAAGCCTTCGAAAAGCTAAACACGGTATTAAGAAATAGGAAAATTTCGTTAGAAACAAATTTCACCCTCCAACATCTCTCTCTCCCTGGCGGGGCGTGGCAAGCCTGTTACTGATCTATCGATACTTTCATGGAAAGTTCTCGGACTAACTGAATTCCTTGGTTCCTCGAGTTAGAACCTGAAAACCAGGAACGGCCATGCTCCTTACATTGTAGCAAACTATTCATATTCCCCACATATTACATTGCTGAGAAGAAAGGGTTCTAGGAGGCTTGTGCACTGGAACTTTATGTCCCGGATAATTGCTTACCAGACAATTGTGTCCCTGAACATTAGCGTCCCTAGCCAAATGCGCTTAAAGACAATTACCGTAAATTTTGAAAAAAGTATAAGTAGTAATCATAATTTTTTAAAAAAGGAATAAAAATAATAAAATAAAATTCAAATTAAAAGTTTATTTTTACTATTTACATTATTCGGTCTATTGTTTTCATCTTTGTTGCCATATTTATCTCAATGTTTCGGCCGTTGTACGCTCCAGCCTTCTTCAAGTGGTTGTGATAGATATGGCAGCAAAGATGAGGACAACAGTCCAAATAATGTAAATAGTGTACATAATACCTCATCTCAGAAATATACACAGATACTGAAGTTTATTTTTGTTGAAAATGCAATGGCATATTATCAGTTTTGAAAAATCTGCACATCCACAATATGGTTTTGTTTCATCGATGTTTTTCTTATGGTTGTTGTAGCGGTCATTTCCCGCGTCCTTAAAAATTTTACAACCAGTATTTGATTTTCCGAAATTAGCCATGGGTTCTAAATAAAAATATAATCTATAAAATCCAGAATCTATTAGATGTTTGTAGTACGCACTACTAGAGTGAACTAAAGCTAGTTTAATTTTCTCTTACTTTCAAAAATAAATTTTTCTCTGTTTTTTTTATATTTTTTATAGTAACTACCTTACTGCTTGTTTAAAGTAATTAAAGGTATTTGTGTGCAAATTTCTATATTAAACAACTCTTTAAAAATAATTATAACTTCATAAAAAATTATCAGAAGTACGCAATTATCCAAGGACGCATTTGTCTAGAGACGCAAATGTCCAGAGAGGTAATTGTCTGATACACAATTGTCCGGAGCGGAAATGTCCTGTACGCAACTGTCCGTCAACCGGAAGGAAGTTTCACACCAACAGCTTATGCTCACAGACCCCTGCTCTGTGGAAACGACTCACAAGAGAATGTTTGCCCGATCGCTACAAATTTAATCTGTTCAAGTCTAGGGTTAACTGTTATTTTCCTCTCCTATCCGCATTAACTGTCTGTTATTGTAAATCTCTATGTAGAGTAGGTCGTGGGCCTTGTGGAGCGTGAACCTCAAAAAAAAAAAGACTGCTGCATTCGTTAATTTCAGCTCTACTTAAACCTGCCTTAGATAAGTCTGATTTTCGAAAATGCATAGTGACCTGGTAGCCCGCTCCCATGACCACGTGCTTATCACTTTTAATGATTCAAGACAGTAAGAGGAGGGATCAAAAGAAACAATTTACCAACTAAGCATTAGAAGTACTTTAAAATTTGGAAGATTATAAAACTATCATTAACTCAGGGTTAATAGCTGTATTATTGACTTCCAGATAAACTGACAACTGACTGTTCAAAGAAGGCTTTAAACGTAACTCGTAGCGACATCTCGTTATCAAATACCAAGAGAAAAGGGTCTAACACCTAAAAGGCATTTAGCTTACATGGTTGCTACGTTAGGGGACAACGCTGCAGCTTTATCAATAGTGCAGTTTAAATTCGAAGGTTGAGAGAGTCTTGAAGATGACTCATGTTCTGGACGT